AAAGTATCTTCTCAGCTTCCTGTTACTCCTTACACAAACAGTCTGGAATGTAAGTCACAGTCTCAAGCCTTTATCTTTGGAGGCCCCGGCCCTTTGCCTGCCAAACCTTGACCGCTCCCCCGAGAATGCACAAGGCAACCCACCAAAACCTTGACCCCTCCCCTGAGGAGAAGCAAGGTTACCGGCCAAACCTTGACCCCTTCCTGGAGGAGGGGCAAGATAGCTCTCCAAAACCTTGACCCCTCCCTCCGTCTTTTTAAACTGCTCCCAGGAAAGTCCCCCTGTGGCCTTTTCTCTTTCTCCTGGTGGTTGTGTTTGTGGCTTCCCGGTTTCCCTCAGGGCCACCTGAGAGCACAGAAATCCCATTAAACCTGGATATTCTTTAATTCGGCTTGTTGTCATTTGGCTTGATTGGGATTTTTGCATTGGCAGAGAGCTCACATTAGGAAAACTCCTAACAGCAACCTCTTAGTAGGAATATCAATACCTTAGTTGGTTGCATGGGATCACTTATTTGAAATTCATCCTGGTGTTGTACAATATAACTGAAAATATAGGTAGATGCTGATCATAAAAATTTTGAGTTCTTGAGTAATATTTATAATTTAAAAGAAAAGTGAGCAGTAGTGATTCTACTATAGGAAGGAAGAAAAGGACCATTCATCTGGTTTTGTTAGGACTACATCTTAGGAGTTATCAGGAAGTAATACAATTGTAGATTGGTACAACATCTTAAAAGAGATCAAAAACATATTGACTCATCAAAACATAGTAGCCATGAGACCCTCCATTTGTTAGAACATTGAGGAAACAGGTTTTCTCAGCTGTGTTTCTCAGCTATGTTCTAATAAAACAAGAACAGCCTCATGGCTACTCTGTGTCTCTCAGCTTAATGGTTGTGGATAAATAAAAGGGAAAATGTTCATGAAAATAAATCCACAAAACATTGAAATATTATTTTTTTAAATAAAATATACATCCTTCACATTAGAACATGTATAGTTCATCTAATCAGTTTCTCTTTGATACATCATTGGTCATTGAAAAATTTTGCTTGCTTTCCCCAGTCTTCATCGGTGTTCCATTGCTGTGAAGAGGCACCATGACCACAGTATTTCAAAAATAAAAGCTTTCTGTTGGGGCTTGCTTACAGTTTCAGAGATTTATTCCATTATCATCATGGCAGGGAGCATGATGGCATGCAGGCAGTCATGGTGCTGGAAAAGTAGCTGAGAGTTATACATCATGATCTGTAGGCAGCAGGAAGAGAAAGACTCTGTCTGGGTTTGGTATGGGCTTTTGAAACCTGAAAACCTATCCCCAGTGACATCCCCACTTCCTCCAACAAGGCCACATCTCCTAATCCTTTCAAATTGTACCACTCACTGGTGACCTAACATTGTAGTCTATGTGTCTATGAAGGCCATTGTCATTTAAGCCACCACATGCCCTGAACTCTCCTCAGGCTTAGACTGGATTTCTGTATAAGCCAGTGAGTTAAAAGAGTGATTACCTCCTGTGTTTTCTAAGAAGTAGTGACTAATCAAAATAAAGAGGGAAGCACTGAACTCACTGTTTTATGTTCCTGTGAAACTCAGTTTAATTCCCTGTACAAACTTAGACCTCCTTGATTCAGCAGCGTATTTCAATGTTAAGGAAATCATAATGTTCAAAATGAAAGCAAGAATTGCAAGATGATTCAGCAGATAAAAACATTTCTAAAGCTGGCTAGACCCCACAGGATGCTGTATGCCTATACTTTTTTTAAGTATTCTGCAGCAAGACCATATGTCTCACTTTAAAGACACTGGATATGGCCATTACAGACCATGATATAAAAACATTAGGTGGCATATAGTAAATTTGATTCCAATATTCACTTGGAAATCATGTTTACAATGGAGGCTTTAAGCCATAACAATTTTATGCTGAAGTAACAATGTGTACAAAATGATCGATGACTGGCAGCCTTCTCCTCCATCACAATGACTCAGCTAAGGGCATTGCATAACTAAAGCAGCCAAGCAAGACATTTCATTTGTAACCAGAGTAAACTATAGCTACGCTCTAGTCTATATTCACTCTTCTGTTGGCCTCCATAATTGCCTGTCCCTTCTTCCTCTGGTCCCCTCCTGTAATAGCTCCTTTTGCTGCTTTCTTTAGTTTGCTTTCCACACGTGGCAGCATGGACAAGCCTTTTACTACTCCTTCGATAACTGTTAAAACAAGAACAAACCCTTCCTACAGAATTCTATTCTTTTTTGTGTAATAGTAACCAAAAGGAAATGTTGCAAATTCCATATTGTTGAAAAGACTATTCACAGAACAATGATTTTTTTTCTTTTTACTTTAAAAAACAGTCCTATTTCTTTAAAAAAAAATTGAATGCTACTCAGGGATACAGTGAACTTTTACTTCTATATAGTAAGTTTATTCTTTTCAGTTAGTTTTTATTTTCTGGGAATTTGGAAATTTTGTTTCAATATCGAAGTTAAAATCTCAGTGTATTTGTTTTCTGTCTAAACATTAAGTTCAAAGTTGGAGACAAGTTTTTAATCTCTTTATTTGTGTTGTCCTGGAAATAATTATGACATTTGTAGATCAGCTACAACTGCCATTCCATTGAGATAGCCATAAGAATTTCCTTCTGTTGCCATTTTCCCTCATATGGATCACTTATTGGCAGTCAAATGATTAGGTCTGTGTTTGTCTGGGATTCTTTTGTGTGTCATAGAAGAGATTCAAAGTTATGACTATGGTCCTTTACCTATTTAACAATTTCTTTAGACTGAAAGCAGACAGAAGCTATAGGAGTCCTCTTGAAAATAAAAAGGGGAGGCTCTATGACCCAGAATTTCATTTTCCATTTCTGTAGGTTACCTGAGTGTATGTTCGCTGGTATTGATTTTTAATATTCTTTTTGCTGGATATTTGTTTTGTAAGCCCAACACCTTTAAAAATGAATTCATGAATATATTCATTCAGGCTGTTTATAAATGTTTCTTTGACTCCATGTCTTGTAAATATTGTCAAACAGATTTCTTTTTATAATTAGTTCAGTTATAGGATGTACTCAAGAACTAAAAATATATCTCCCATAGATCGTGCTGTACCAAAGTTTCCAAGTCAACCTATCACAGACATAGTTACATATCAATTATTACTGTAGCACTATTTATAGGAGCTAAGTTAAAAAATCGATGCTGATACCCAACAACAGGAAAACTGATAAAGAAAATGTGGTATATAAACACAATAGAATACTGTAGTCATAGGAAGGATGAAGTTGTGTAAATTTGCAGTAAAATAGATTTAATCAGAAAAATCATATTAAATGAATTATCCAGTCATCAAATACAAATCACATGGCTCCTTGCATCTGTAGTTCCTAGATTTTATATAGATATGTGAAGCTGTGCATGCACATGGAAGTAAATGACACAAGACATGAAGTGGAAGTGCAACTATCTAGGCAACAGAGGGGACTGACAGGAGTGGGAGGGGCATAAATGAGAAGGGAGGCTAGAGGAGATGATGGGGGAGGCACACATGTTCAGCAGAAACGTGACTGTTCACATTTCAGTGATTCAGTCAGAATTCTATATAACTCCATCTTCATATTGATTACCATAAAGTTCCTCAGGAGACCAGAATCATATTTAAGGTTTTAAATAAAAATCTGTTTTGACAAGTCGTCATTGTCCCACCTAAAAACTGAAAAGCTTTATTGTTTATGATACAGCGTGCTCAGTCAATGAGGATGTGAGAAGAAAGATTTTAACAGGTGAAAAATCTCGTGGTCAACAGTACAGGGTAGTGGTTTTGGAACAATGTCCACCTTGAGAGCTTACGTACTAGTTTGACATAGGCAAATGGCAGAGTTCACTGCATGTGCAGTCACTGCACATTATATAAAAGGACATCCAAAGAATGCAGTCACCCAACTGTTTATAATGAGTGGGAAGGGAGGAATGGAAAAAAATTTCTTCTGGAGTTCAGAAAGCCTAAAGAAGCTTTATTTGACAGTGAGTATGTGACCCTGAAATTATAAATGTCGTTGATTTTAATTAGCAATTTAGATGGTAATAGGTGGAGTTTATATTTATCTTAGGTAAAACGTGACTTAATTAGAAATTTATAACTTTGATTACATTGCTAAAATAATTGTTTTCATTAAAAATACATTTTCTCTCTTTTCCCACTTGTTTGGGGTCTGGATATTTGGGAAACTAAGGAAAACTAAGAAGGAACAGAAGCCAACACACAGTATGCTTGTGATGATGCAGGAGTCTATCTCTCCCACAGTAACTTAGATAAGTGGGTGATTAATAGAATAGTACCAAGAGACAAGCATTGTGATCAGAACCTCTGCAGGCAAGGGGATTTGAACCTATATTCAATGTTTATTAATGGCATTTGTAAATTTTGAAGATGATTTCAGAATACTAGTGGAATCCTTGCGACAGTGGGAGCTACTGAGAAGGCCATGCTGACAGTGTATATTGTGAACTAGACACAGGACTTCTGAGCTCACAAGTTCCAGTTCAGATGACTGCTCACTCTGTTCTGTGTCACCATGCCAGCCTATCCACCGTCTATCTTTCCTCCTTGCCTCTCTCTCTTGTCACACTGGAAGAGGATCTGCATACTCAGGAGATTTTCATCAAGATGAGAAATATTCTTTACGAAACTATGTCATTTAGGGCGTCCCCTTAGTGTTTTCTGTGAGCTTTTCCAGGAAGACTGGGGTATTTCATGAAAACCTTGCTGGAAAAGAAAGAGAGAGAGAAATGGCTTTTATGAGAAATGAGTCAATAATCTTTCATTTCTTCCAAGCTGTTCTTTGAGAGGGAAAGAGGCACTGCTCAGACTCTTATGAGGTGATGGGACTAACTTTCAATTTGGAGGGTTACAGGTGGACTAATGTACTTCCAGTAAGCTGAGCTCACACTGTGACATTTATTACAGCATGCTAACTATGCTTTCCCAGCAGATTTAAAATGCAGTTGCTACTGCAAACATTGTGCATCCTCCTTACACTGGAGAAGACACTCTGCTCCCTTAAACTGAAAACCAAGAATCCCGAAGCCAATATGAATGTTGTAAGTTCCTATTGTCCCTGAGAAAAATACTTTGCCACTATTAGCTTCACTCATTCTTTTCAAAATGCTACATTTATTATATATTGAATGTTTTCTTTATATAGATTATATTACTCCAAACCAAAAAGAAATTCTGTTTTGAGAATCATAGCAATAGCCAACTAAGTCACTTATGAAACTCAGTACTTTGAAATATTTTTTTTTCTAGAGCGAGGTGATTTCCTACTGGGGTTATCCAAGTGAAGAGTATGAGGTTGTGACAGAAGATGGTTACATCCTCTCAATTAACCGAATTCCTTATGGGAAAAATGACTTTGGTAATTCAGGTAAGATTTGAGCGAGAGGAACATATACTGAGCTAAATACAATCTATCCAGGGCTCCTTAATGCTGCTTGTAAATTTAGTGACTCAAAAGCTCTCCAAGTCTCATATAAAGAGGTTGTGAGTGACACCTGGCTTCAGTTCACCAATATTGTAGGAAAGGTGAGTACAATCTGCCTAGAATTTAGCTTTCTGTAATGAAGAAGGGGCCAGTGCATTCAGGCACCCTGATTCTGTAGGTTAATGTGGTTAGAAAGAGAAAGTTCTCCCTAGACTAATGTATTTGAATCCTTGTTCATCAGTTACTGACATGTTTGGGACACTTTAGGTAGTGCAGCTTTGCTGGAGGAAGTGCATAGTATGAGGCAGACTTGAGATGAAATGTATCAAGTCTCTAAGTTCTCTCTCTCTGTTCATGCTTGTGTTGGAAGATGTGAGCTTCTAGCTTCTTGTTCCTATGGCTTTTTCTGCTGCTTGCTGCACTACCTCCATGTCATGATGGACACTTGTCCCTCTGGAAACATAAACCAACATAAACACTTCCCTCTATAAGTTACCTTGCTCATGGTATTTTATCAAAGCAACAGAAAAATAACTAATACAGGTGCTTTAGGTATTGGGTTAAAATCATCATTACTGTTTCTGAGGACAGAGGAAAGCTGTCCTGCTCTGGGTCTAGATCTTGGGTCTCAGACTGACTGTACAAATACTGGACAAGTTCAAGTTTCCCCTCCCCCCTTAGTAATCTGTATGGAAAGTTTGGGGTCTAGAATAATCCCCTTACTAATCTCTTTAGAAAATTTTGGGTCTAGAGTATTCCCCTTAGTAATCTGCTTAGTAATGTTTTGGGTCTAGAATATTCCTACTTACATATATTTGTCATTGATGCTAAAGTGTCATTAGATAAAAACTCCTTATCAGAAAAGAACATGACAGTGAAATTCTAGAAATAAAATATATTCAGTAAGTGTATTTCTGTAAGAGTAAATGGAGCAGAAGAAGGCCATAAGATCTTACAACTGACACAACTCTTATGTCTTGAAGAATATGGAATAGTGTTTACTAACATGACATGAAGTGTAATAAAGTCTTAACTCACCCCTTTGGGTTACAAGTCAATTGCCTTCAGCTGTACAATGATGATTTCAAAATTCCATTGAAAAGTATCTTCTGGGCATGAGAGTAGGCAAACAGAAGGTAACGAGATTTATATGAGCAAATTAAAATTATTTACATGCGGAAATGTCATAGTTCACCCATGGTTTAACACACAAAAATAATGGTAGTGGTAACAATAATATCATTAGGAGCTTGAAGATGACTCAACTCATTAGTTAAGAGCACTGACCATTTTTCCAGATTCAATTCTGAGAACCTACGCGGCAGATCACAACTAATTGTAACTCTCTCTGTAGGGAATCCAATGCCCTCTTCTGTCCTCCATGGGCACCTGGTACAAATGTGGTATATAGGCATATATACAGCCTAAACGCCAATACACATAAATTTAATAAAGCTACTACAACCAATAATAATCGTAATAATATTACTATCACTACTACTACAAGTAGTAACATCAATACTTTCCATTTTTTTTTCTTTCAGAACCAAAGCCAGTAGTTTACTTGCAACACGGATTTATAGCAACGTCTGGCAGCTGGGTTGCCAACCTTCCCAACAACAGTCTGGGCTTCCTGCTGGCAGATGCTGGTTATGATGTGTGGATGGGAAATAGTAGAGGCAATATCTATGCCAGGAAACATGTGTACATGGACCCTAATTCTAAGGAATTCTGGGCATTTAGGTAGGAAGAGATACTTGGTGGAGTGTGTTATTCCCAACAGCTGTGCTCATGTATTAGTTTAGTTTGATTTATGTATGTGAAGTGCCTTTGGAAGCCACAGGTTGATCAACTACCTCCTTTAAGTGATCACCACCATATTTTTGGAGACAGGGTTTCTCACTGAACCTGCGGTGTCCCAACTCAGTGGATTGCCTGGTCAGCAAGCTCCAAGGAGTCTCCTTTATCTACCTCCCCAATGCAGGGATTTCCCACTGCTACCACTGGATCAACTTTTATTGTTACCTGGGTTCTGGATATTAAAGTCCTTTGTTTGCATGGAAGACATTGTACTAACTGGAAAATTCCTCCAGCTAAAAGTGTTGAAGATTTTTGATGTTAACATTAATTCCTTGAACTAGAATGGAAACTTCCTTAACATGTCTAATTGTCAAGTATGTGTTTTAACTTATTTATAATAGCTTATGTATGACTTTTATTTTGCCTATTAAGATAAAGTAAAAGTAAAATATGCAATTTATTGACTAGACCCTTGCCACTCACTTATCTATTTCTTTGCCCATCTACATATTGCTTATAAAATTTTTCATACAACCTCCTGAATACAAACAATATGTGCAATCTTATTATTCAAAACTTAATTTTACCCAAGTGAAAAATCGTATTATTTTTAAGGAGAAACAGGGGCAAAGCAAAATGAAGATGGTTAAATTCTTCCATTAATTAGAAAATGTAGTTGAACTGAGTTCTGATATATCAGTCGTTCAATATCCAGATCTTTTGTGGCATATTTACAGTATTCTGTGAAAATTAAAATAGTTTATGCTTCTTATTCACAGTATGGAAATATTGAATGTTGTAATATTATAGAATTTTTAGTGTAGAACAAAAATGCTCTGAAATTTAGCTGAATATTTATCTGGCTAGGGCCATAGCAAGTTTTCTCAGCTCCATGCTCTCTTCAGAATCACAGGAACATAACAGGTATTTTGAGGGCACGAATGAACTGGCAGTCTCAAGCAGGGACATAGACAGTATCTGATCAATGTTCTCTTATACCCAGAACTCACTCACTGGGACTCCTAAAATCATAATTAAAACACACTGTAAATTCTAATTACTCATTAGTAATTAAGATTTTTTATCTGCTTTTAATGCAGTCATGATGAAATAATAAAATATGATCTTCCAGCCACCATTGATTTCATTCTTCAGAAAACGGGACAGAAACAATTGTACTATGTCGGTCACTCCCAGGGAACTATTATTGGTATGTTGAGTAAAATCTGACCATATTATGTTTTGGAGAAATAATGAAATTTTTTAAAAAATAATTTCATTGTTAGAAATATCAATTACAAACTTGTCAAATGACACAATTGATTTTAAGTAGGAGAAAACTCTAGTCTCTTACTTTACTTTCTTTCAGCATTTGGAGCATTTTCATCCAATCAACAACTGGCCCAAAAAATCAAAATCTTCTTTGCATTGGCTCCGTTTTGTACTGTCGGATACACAACAAGTGTTCTTCGGCTCTTTGCATACATCCCACCAACAGTGTTCAAGGTTTGATTCTCTTGACTGTATTTCAAGAAGTAGAATTGACATGGTTTTCAGAATGAGGAAGAGTAGAGTTAATCGGGAGAGGAGAGACACTGATGCAGGCTTGTTCTGATTGCTCTGATTTTTGAAACTGGCCACAGCCCAGCCCGCTCTGTAGCTGGGGATGCATCTTTGAAGGTGCTGAATTGTCAACCAGGTTTTTCTTCTTACCCATCTGTCCTCCTTATCTTTTGAAATCATAATTAATGCTTTCTATCATATGCAAATGTGTTGCCTGTATTTTACCAACTTCACCATCATCACCTTTAATTCTTCTAACTCTGTTTTAATAGAATGAATATGTTTTTTTTCATTCACCACGGTCTTGCCACTGCTTACTCTAATAACTGTGTTCTGTTCTTGAAGTTATTATTTTAATTAGATGGCTCATGACATAATCTGTAGTGGGGGGATGTGATAACAAAAGATAAGTAAAGCCTTTGGAAATTATACATCTAAAGCAGCAATAATGGCCTTTTTCCTACCAAAATTGCTTTTGGTCATGGTCTTTATCATAGCAATAGAAAAGAAACTAAGACAGTGATATGTGTGTGTATGTGTGTGTGTCTATTAGCGTGTGTGCTCATGCACAAATATCCATTTGCCACAAACCATTTAAGAAAGTAAGGTACTACTTGGGGGTGTAATTTCTTTATTAAGGTGTAATCTTAATAGTATTAATTTGCATTTGTTAACTGACTAGATATTTTGCTTCTTTTATCTACCAATCATCTAGTCTTCATAATTTGAAAATTATTTATTTTTGTTAGTTCATTTATTTATCAGGTTCTTTGTAGGTTTTTCATTTATTAAGTTTTTGTAAGGTCTTTTCTTCTACAAGTTTTCCTTTACTTCCTTGATTAGATTTATTCCTAAGTAATTAAATATTTTGGAGCTAGTATGAATGGGATTTCTTTCAAACCAATTTTCTTTTCACTGTGTTCATAACTGGCAAATAGGAAAACTGATAACTGTGTTTATTCATATTCTTTCTTGCTAATTTTCTGAAAATGTTTATTAGTCCTGAGAGTGTTATGGTTGATTTTTAGGGTCTCTCATATACAAAATTGTATTATCTGCAATTATGTATAATTTGACTTAATCTTAATATTCCTTTGAATATAATATATATGCTTATATTATATATCCCTCTTATTTACTTCCTTTATCTTTATTGATTAAGAATTGAATAATTATATGAATTAAAAGGGAGAAAGTAGGCAACATCGATTCATTCCTGATTTTATGACAATGTGAGTTTTTTTCTGTTTAGTACAGTCATTGCTGTGGTTTGTGATAGATATTGAGTTATGTTCCTTCTAATGTTATTTCTTGGGTGATTTTGTCCTGGCAAGCCATTGAATACTGGGTGTTTTTAAAGAGGCTTCAGCCAATTTATTCCACCCTAGTGTTGTAGCTGCTTATATACAAAGAAGGATTGATAGTCAGGTCTTGTTTCTCAAACTGATGAAGAAGCTGGGGAGAGAAGAAAATGATAATCTAACCAGGTCTCACCATACATCACCCTCAGTAAGAGACAGCATTTCCATAAACACAATAGGATTTGGTGCCTGCTTTTGAAAAGTCCCAAAGATATCATCAATTGACTCAGACAATTTTAAGGAACTCTCACTAAAATTCCCAAAGAATTGATTTGAGGTAGAAGTCACATACCTGACAAATTTAGGAAATTTCTTCTGTATTTTTGGAAAGAATTTGGTTTCTCTACCATTTGTATTCATGTACAGATGTTTCTTGTCATTCAAATATATTCTATTTCAAATTCCTATATTTATGCTATTTTCTTCATTAACAAACCATACATACTCATGATAAATTATTTTCTCATTTCCTTAATAATTCAGTCTTGTATACCAAATCACTCATCTCAACAAGAAAATGTCAGGTACTATGGGTATTCATTCTAATCACTTAACATCTACACGTTAATCCTTTTAATATTTTTTTAATATTTAATTTTAGAGGCTGTTCTATTTATTAATGCAATTAATTTATACATATATATCTTAATGTATTCATTACCATTATTGTTTTCAATGTTTGTTGACAAATTTGTAAACTTATGTAACCATCATAAATATGCAGAATTAATTCTAGGAAATTAATTACACTCAGAAATATTATTTTCTGGTTGAATTAGTAAAGTATTTTTAATGCACTCTATTTTATTGGAAAACTTTTCTCAATCATGTATAAAAAGGTATCATAGTAAACTAAATCACCAAATGTTTCATCAATATTTTACAAGATTACTTTTCGATCCCTTCTTTTCTTCCTTGTTCTTCTCCTTCTAACAGCTGGTTTTCACTTATGTCGTTTTCAGATACTGTTTGGTGAAAAGGACTTTTTGTCCCCCTCACAAGCCGACTATATTGGTCAGTTTATCTGCCAGAATAAACCAATTGGAACCATTTGTAATAATATATTTACGTTATTTTTTGGATACAATCCAAAAAATTTAAATGAGGTATGATTTTGGTTTTAAGTTATTTTTTGTTTGCTGATGGCTTCATAATGATTACATATTATTATCTCCAAAGGTAAATAATAAAATCTAGGCAGTTTGTCCACCCAGCATATTATTATCTTAACTTATTTTATATAATTAATGTAAGTCAACATTCACCAAATATACAATGTATGTAATCTAATGTAAAAATACACAGTCATAGAATTCATAAATTTCTCTGAATATCACAGGTTTAAGATTTCTAAGTTATATTATCAACTTCATTTTAATAGATTTGGTGTCAATAATCTTATCACTGGTCACTCATTTGAAAGGTTCTCTGGAAAAAAATATAATTTTGCTAACTACTTTCTTGCACAAAAAAAATTTAGATTACATTCTGCAGTGAAATTTCCCACTTTGCAAACTGAACAAAGGGTTAAATCACAGAAATAAAAATACTGCTTTTACTGGCTTTTTGGAACCCATTCCCTTTGGATGGACACCTTGCTAAGCTTAGGTATAGTATAGAGGTCCTTGGTCCTTTCTCAAAGCAATGTGCCTAACCCTCTCTGAGGAGTGCATTGGGGGGAAAGTTAGTGGGGAGATGGAGGGAATGGGTACTGGGATTGGTATGCAAAATGAAAAAGATAGTTTTTTTGAAAAATAAAATTAAATTAAAAAAGAAATAAAAGTTCTACTTATTGAAAGTTTCCTGTTCCTGAAAATTCTACTTATTTACTAATACACATCATGCTTCCTTCCCTCTAGAGCCGGATGGACGTGTACTTGGGGCAGTATCCAGCAGGAGCATCAGTTCAAAGTATGCTGCACTATAACCAGGTATAATTCCCTGTGCTTCCTTCTTTGATCTTTTGCAATTTGAAACATGACTTCTTTACTAGTATCTGTGTGCTTTGATGGCCAATGCATGCCATCTTTTTTTTAAAAGATTTATTTATTTATTATTTAGTGTACAGTGTTCTACCTGCATAACAGAAGAGGACACCAGATCTCACTATAGATAGTTGTAGATTCTGGGAATTGAACTTCTGGAAGAGCAACCAGTAATTATAAACTCTGAGCCATCTCTCCAGCCCCCCACATTCTGTCTTTTTAAAGTATTAACTAATACATTCTCCAATGCCAATGGATATTAGAGGGGACATAAGTATGTGTGAGCAAAATTATTTTATCTTTAAGTCCTCAGAAGTTATATTTCTTTTCAAAAATGAAATCTCATTTCAACTTATAATGTTAAATTAGCACCAATTCTTACAAGCTCTAGCAATGGTGAAAGATAGATATTTCAGAGCCCATTGTGTGGCTTTATTAATTAATAAATGTTTTGTCCTTGCTTAGTCAAAAACAAACAAACAAAAAATATTTGCACTAATGATATATTAAGTTGTGTACATTTTCAGTAAAATATATTTAACCAGAAATAATTATAGCAAATAAATTTTCCAGTCCTCAGATATAAATCATATATATCCTTGATTCTGTAGCTCTTAGATTTAATACAGAGATCCATTGTCTTATTTTAATTTCAGAAACAATATTTAGAGAGTTCCTCAATCTTTAGCAAATGTCTTTTTATTACATATGTCTGAAGGTTAGACTGCTGCTGTAGCCCCATTCTTTATTCTTCTTAACTCAGTAGAATTAACAATTATATTAGCAATTGTTTCAACACAAATCTGTCTTATTATTACGTCCTCTGTCATAGATAAAATTGAAAAGGTTTTTGTGCAGAGGAAAGTCTACAGAATGAAAATTTTGGCCACACGTCACAGTGTTGAATGAAATGCTAATTTCATGAGTTTCAAATATTGTTTGATGCCAGTTGAATTATAAATCACCAAAGAAATCTTTATACTGCTAGAAAATGGGTATTACCTATTTATTATTTTTCAAGTAAGGTTTTATTTGCTTGGAATTTACTACTTCATAACATTTTCTTTAAAATTATTTATAAATTGAAATTGATTTGCATGATATAAAAACATAATGTTATTAAGACTTGCCTTTAAAATAAGAACAATTATTTGTCAGGAAATTATAATAATAGTGATTTTACATCATTTTCAGATATTTTCTTACGAGACAGCATAACAATTTAAACAGTTCAAAATTATTAAAATATGTGGAAATTTTACTTTCCACAATGTCATCATTTCAATATTTTTTATATTGTTATAAACAGAACCTGTTGGAAAACGTTTTGTAGATACTTAGTTGGTGGCACCTGGAATTGGGGCAACAGTAGCAGTATTATGGAACACACTGAAATTTCACAAAACAGTTATATTATCACATGAGACAGTAAGCATATTGTAATTTCTGATTTATAAACAATAATATGTTTTGTCCTTTTAAGCTTATTAATAAAGGTACATTTCAAGCTTATGACTGGGGAAGTCCACATCTAAACATGCAACACTACAATCAAGTAAGTTTCCTTTATTCTAATACATTGACTCTTCCCTGTGGGAAAGAACAGATCTAACCAAATACCCAGTTTCAAAAGATGGTGGAATTGCTTTACATTTCCCAGGATTTGAGGGAGAGAGAACCTGGGATGAGCTGACAATGACGCAGTAACGAGCTCTCTGGTACAGCACTGTGCAAGGCTCATCCCTGTGAACCACGTCATTTGAATCTCACAGCTCTGCAAACCTCCAGACTTCACTGCTCCCATAATCTCATATATAAAGAAACTAAGATCTGGAGAGCTTTAAGTTTTGAAAAATCACTCAGTTTATCTGAGTTAAGGCATGATCAATAATCTATTCCTGAATGAAAATAAAAGCCAAGATTTCGTAAATAAGCTTACGGTTTAATCAGGTATTACCATTATCATTTCATTGGATAGAATTTTCATGTGTTATCTTTTCTCATTTTCCTTCAGATCACACCTCCATTTTACAAGGTGGAGAACATGAAGGTCCCGACTGTCATGTGGAGTGGCGGACGGGATACTTTGGCAGACCCAATAGATGTTGCAAATTTAGAACGTAATATCCCCAAGCTCATTTACCATAAGAAGATTCCTGACTACAATCATATTGATTTTGTAATAGGCTTAGATGCTTTTCATCAAGTTTTCAGTGAAATTTTATCATTCATCAATAAAGATCAATCACATTGAATCTTCTATGGTTTCTTGTGTGGTTTCTTTTCTGTTGCTCATTTGTTTGTTTGTAGGGATTTTTTGAAGATCCCTTGCTTTTCTCTGTATAAACAATTTCTCAGTTGTCTCTTTATTCTTATTTACTTTTCATTCATCTCTACTAGCATTAGATTTTTTGATTTGCAAATCATTGAATCGTTTTCCTAAAAGTAGGAGAATTAGTAAAATATTTTCTTCACCACAAATGCTCTCTGAGTCATGAAATTAGAAATTATTCCACTGAGAAAAGTACTCATTTAAGAGTGGGCCTGCCTTTCATATCTAAAAAGATATTCCTGAAATAAAGCAGGTCTTAAAACATCTGTGCGGAATGTCAAATCTAAAAAGGGGGGTTAACAGTGTGTTTCACTTTTTGAAAAGTCTTATAGGACGTTATCACTCAAGACTTTAGCTAATTTAATAACTCGGGAATTTCTAATTTTTACCAGGTGGTGCTAAAAGCACCTTTTTTATAGTAGGACTAACATAGAAATAAGACAAGCTGTGAGGGCCCTGAATCTTTACCATTCATTCTAAAACACTAAAACAGAAAAGGTAAATTCACCTAGGATTTTTCTCCATTCTAAATTTTGATAAGTATCCCATCACCTTGCTTGATAGGCTTAACTATGTAATCTCATCCATCAGTTTGAGAAATGGGAGAAATAAAAAGTGGAGAAAATAAAAGCAGAGAAAAGAAAAGAATGAAATAGAAGCAATAACACAAACATGGAATGTGGAGTGATGGCTAAAAACAGAAGGAATAGATATGTAATGTCTCACTCATTAGAGATTGTTTAAATAACTTTTATAAAGATCTAAGAAGACCTACACATCAATTCCTTGATTCACTACATCAAAACAACCCGCCACTCAAACAAAATTTGAACAAAACAAAGTTGAAAAAAACAGTGAGAGCAACAAGATGAAATAGTTTTAGCTATTTAATAAATATAAAAGATCTTGGGGTATGCTCTCTGTTACCAAAACATATAAAGACCTTAATTTAAGATGCCCTTCTTTATCTCATGTAATTTCTGTCTATAACCAATAGACATGAAGAAACTTCCAAGATCAAACAGGGAATGATTATGAGATCCCAGTTACTCTGTGCCACTTGTTCTACCTGTCTATTTCTTTTAACCTCTACACAATATAACTAATAGGAAGAACTGCTTTCAGTAACAACGGCAGAGATAAGGAAAGGATATAATTGCTAGGGAAGATTTTAATTTCACAGAGTTTTGTGAAGGAAAAACTTGTAATATGAAAATTCTACTGGAATGAATAGAGCTATTTTCTGGAGTTATCACCTTAGTAGAAGTTTCATCATACATTATTCTAATCATCTCTGTGATCAGAGTCCAGAGACACCTCCCTGAGCACCAAGGATCTAGTCTGTTAGAATTTTTAGAACTAATTTCTAACATCTGATCAAGCTCCAGGCTATTGACGACTATTAATATCCACCATTTATGTAGTAATCCAGAAGTAGGCATCTTGTAGATAGGGTTGTTGCTGGAAAAATAAATTAACCATAATTTGTTTGGTCAAAAAATGGCATAATTTTGTATGAAATGACATGCTCCCTACTTTTCAGAGAACTCAAGGTCCCAGAATAATATGAACTGTTTCCCTCAGTTTGAATAATTGTAATTATTCCTAAATAATTACAAATAATGATCTTTGGAGTAGTCCACGTGTAAGTATTATGCATTTCCAAATAGATTATCCGAAATGTAGCTTCTCAGACAGTGTGATGTTCTGCAAGCCCTTATTATCATGCCACAATCAGAAATTGCTTTGCTGAACTTCAGTGAGTGCAGAACAATTCTATAAATAACACTGGTGTTTAGTGAATCTAAATACAAATTTTCACTTTCTTCCTCTGAGGGATAGCAATGCAGAATGGCTATTCACTTTGTGTCACTTTTTAATTACTTCAAATCCCAATACTAGGACAAAAGGAAAGAAGGAGTAAAGGCTCCAAAAAGCACAAACTAAATCAATTCAAAGAATAACAAACCCTTCATGCCACTGTCTTTTGAAAACTCTGTTTGTAGGGGTGGAAAAAATTATTTGTTTGTATCCTGTGGAAGCACATTCTGTTCCTTCAGACAATAGCCTTTAAGACACCAGCCCACTTGGGCATGGTCTCTTACACTATTTAGACCCATGTAAAGCATGCCCAGCCTCTTTTCTGGCTGCAGGAACTAGTTGCTGTTCCCTGTTCCAGCAGAGGATTGTGATCTGCGATTCTACCCCTAAATAAATAACCCTCTATTATTCTCAATACTGAGCTAGTGTGGGATTTCTTTAAAGTGCCCATCTTCATCTGGATCCCAACCTGGGGCGTGAATCCACAACCCTGGGATTAAGAGTTCCATGCTCTAATGACTGTCTTTTGGGGGAAGGGTTGCTTGTTTGTCCTGGCTTCCCAGCCAGGAAATAACCACTCAGAAAACCATATCATTTGCAATGCTGTTTGGCCAACAGCTTAAGAGTATTTCTGACTAATCTCATATCCTAAACTAACCCATCTCTATTATTCTGTATACTGCCACATGGCTGTGGCTTATCAGCTAAAGTTCCCAGCATCTATCTCAGTTGGCTTCTCTCTGACTCCACTTTTCTTTCTCCCAGAATTCAGTTCCATCTTCCCTGCTTACCTAAGTTATGCCCTGCAAAGCAGTTTCTTTATTCATTAATGGTAATCACAGCATACAAAGGGAAGTCCAACATCATTTGTACACATTTTTTATTTCCCATTGAAATCTTTTTTATTTTTTTATTGAAAAAAAATTTTCCGCCTCTTCCCAGCCTCCCATTCCTTCCCTCCTCCCACTCTTCTCCCCCTCCCCCCACTCCTCTCCCCCTCCCTCTCCAGTATAAGAGCAGTCAGGGTTCCCTGCACTGTGAAAAGTCCAAGGTCCTCCCCTCTCCATCTAGGTCTAGGAAGGTGAGCATCCAAACTGGCTAGGCTCCCACAAAGCCAGAACATGAAATAGGATCAAAACCCAGTGCCATTGTCCTTGGTTTCTCATCAGCCCTCATTGTCAGCCATGTTCAGAGAGTCCGGTTTTATCCCATGCTTTTTCAGTCACAGTCCAGCTGGCCTTGGTGAGCTCCCAATAGATCAGTCCCACGGTCTCAGTGGGTGGGTGCACCCCTCATGGTCCTGACTTCCTTGCTCATGTTCTCCCACCTGCTCCTCATTGGGACCTTGGGAGCTCATTCCGGTGCTCCAATGTGGGTCTCTGTCTATCTCCATCCATTGCCAGATGAAGGTTTATGGTGATATGCAAGATATTCATCAGTATGGCTATAGGATAGGGCCATTTCAGGTTCCCTATCCTCAGCTGCCCATAGAACTAACTGGGGACATCCTCCTGGGCACCTGGGAGCCCCCTAGGTTCAAGTCTCTTGCCAACCCTAAGGTGGCTCCCTTAATTAAGATATATGCTTCCCTGATCCCATATCCATCCTTCCTTTATCCCAACCATCCCATTTCCCCAAGTTGCCCCTATCCTCCTCTTCTCACTTTTCTCTCCCCATCTCCCCTTACCCCCATCCCACCCCTCCCCAAGATCTCAATTTTTTGCCCGGCAATCTTGATGTAGAAGCAATGCCTATAACCCGCTGTTAGAAAAAACAATAACAAACACAAACAAACAAACAAACAAAAAAAAAAAAAACCACAACATAGCTTTCAAGATGGCTGAATGCTTGCTAACATCTCTACTGTCCAACACGAACTCCTATCAGTCTCACTTTGGATCTTTTAGATCAGAAGCCCCATGATAGGATGCACCCTGGACCCCTTGATAGGATGTTATGTTGCTAGGTTAATGCCTGTTCCTTAAATCCCGAAACTCCTTAAAAAGAGTTCTAAGAAGCTTTCCTAGATGGCTAGGTAAGCTCTAATTCCTGGAAAAGTTCAAAGGAAGTAGATGATTTCTGTCACTCTTTTCAGATTCCACGTACTCTATTCTTGTATATACTTGTAACTCATCACAAACACAATTATTCTACCTGCACATGGTGTATGACCAGTTAATAAACTTTTCTCCAGTAATAACTTGCAAGTCCTACTATATCTGATAGAAATATCTAAGTAGTTAAAGGAAAATATATAAAAATTTATTTAGACAAATATATCTAAAATAAGTATCAAAAGACTCTTATCTTTTTCTAATAATCCATATACTGGAATTAAAAAAAACCCTTAGAATACATACATACACTAGGAAAGAAAAATAGAGTTCCAAGCCATCTGCACTGCCTACTTGTAGAGTTTAGTATACTGGTGTGTTTTTGTGTGACACTACTCCTGGTGAGACATGAACAAAAGTCACCCCAGATAGAAATTGAATAACAGACCAAAATAAGGATATCACCACACTCCAAGTAGGTGAATGGATGAGATTTTATTGGGGTTGCTCAGAGAAGTAGAAATAACACAGAGACCACTGCATCATCAACTCCCACAGCTAACAAACCAGGGCACTGCACAACCTGCAGGCAGCTCCACGTGCTGAAAGTTCCTCTTAGGGAGCTTGGTTGGTCAGAGCTTCTGCAGGCAGCTCAGCTGATTTCTGCATTTTTTCACATGACTCAGTTTGCCTGAAGGAGTCTCTCAGAAGTCCTATGGTTTATTATAAAAAACTTGAGAAGTGAGGGACTTAATGAATCTTGGCAGCTTCAGGGATTTTCTGAAGCTTTTAAATTGTTTACTTCCTGTGCAAAAGGAGTTTCCTAGCAGGACAGAATGTTTTACCTTCTTTGAGAACAATCTGTGTCCTGATAAATGTCTTACTTACTGTTCTATTGTTGTAAAGAGACACTATGAAACTGTATTAATTAAATCACTGCCTGGCCCATTAGCTCTAGCTTCTTATTGGCTAATGTTATATAGTAATTTAACCCATTTCTAGCAATCTGTGCATTGCCACATGGCTGTGACTTACTGGCAAGATTCC